ACAAATATAAAGTGAATGGGGTTTTCAGGCTGGGTTATTCATTTCCAGAACTATACTTATAAATGTCTGCCCTACTTTATAGAATAAGCCTAAACAAAGAATTAGTCAAACTATGGGATTTTACTTTTCTTCTAAACATTTTAGCAGTGTAAGGTAAGTGAAATATTCTAAAACCTATTCAAATGAGTAAAAGTGTCCAGCACTGTGTTGGTTTGAATGAGAAATATCCGTCATAGGCTCAAGTATTGAACACATGGTATATGGTCCCCAGTTGGTAATGCTGTTTGTGGAAGGTCCTAGAACCTCTAACAGGTGTGGTGTAAGTTAAATTTACTGCTGGGAGGTGCACATGTGGCTTAGCCGGCCTCCTCTTCCCACTGTCCTTACAACAAGACAAATCAAGCCAATATTCCTCCAACCTACAATTTAGGGAACAAAAGGATTTATTGGGCTTGTGAACAGAGCATAGGGTGGTGCTGAGGGTGCACTTACAAAAGTGTGGGTGCCTTTGGCCTTTTATTCCCTGTATCCTGACAGTGGCTTCCTGATCTGTTTCCAGAGTTCCACAATGGCAAAGCATCTCCCCTCTCTCTGTCTTCCCCTGTCCCTAGCCTTTGTTCTCCCCCCTCTTGCAGTTAAGGCTGATTGGGTGGGAGGGGTGACTGACTCCAACTGCCCCTCCCCTCCTATGGAGGATCTTACAGTCCAATTAGTTTGAGGTAATTGAAGGAAGAGGGTGAGAAGCTAGAGAAGGAGGCATCTATCCATTTTTTGCCACTTGAAGGACAAGCTAGTCAAACACATGGCCTCGCCGGAGGAAGAATGTCACTGAGGACAACTTGAGACTTCATAGCCATGCCCTGATTCCAGTTGATCTCTTAGCTTCCTGTGTGTGCTTGAAGATGTGAGTGCTTAGCTTTCTGCCCCATTGTCCACTGCCATGCCTCCTCACCACAATGGACTCATCCCTCTGTAATCATAAATCCAAATAAGCTCTTCCTTCTGTAAGTTGCCTTCATCATGGTGTTTTATCACAGCAACAGAAAAGTAGCTGATAGAAGCACTGTGGAGCCCTGTGTTCTCTTCTCTCCATGTTCCTCCATGGAGAGTAACAGCAAATAATGTTATAAGTGTTACTGTTGTAAGCAAATAATGGCAATTTTTACTGAGATGTGGGAGAAAATGAAAAGATTGTGTATGTAAATTTATTAATAATTCATAGACATATATAATAGTTTAAAAAATATTTTATTTGTCTGAAAAGAATGTATATTCCACAGCTGTTGGATGAAATATGCTATAAACATTTATTAAATCTACTTATTCTATATTGTAATTAAAAAAAAAAAGTTAGAACCTCATTCAATTTTATGTCTTATAAGGGTTTTACTGAGTTCAATATTGTATAACTGTATTAATTTAACTGTGAACCTCAAAATTTACAGCTAATTTTGAAAGAGAAGCATCTTTGCTCTGGAAATTGTTATTGAATATGTTAATGCTGTAATGAAATGCTTCTAATCATGTGGTTATTAAATAATTTAAAAAAATTCAAACAAAAAAAAATATTTTATTTGAGAATTTTATAAAATGTATTTTGATTATATTCAGACTCCCTCCCCCAAACCCACCCCCACCCCATTACTGCAGCCACTTCTTTGACTTCATGTCTGCTATTATTTTTATTTCTATTTTTATTCAATGTATACTTTTATTGAATTTTTGTGCGTTTCATATGTCTTAATCTTACTTAGATCCCCTCCCCCATGCATACCCCCCCATACCTCATCACCAGTTTTCATGTGTCCTGTCATATATGAGAAGGCCTACGGAGTCAAGCTTTTGTACCCAGATGTCCCTCAGTGCAAGTTCATCCTCTAGTGTCTGTCCAGTCTATCTAGAGTCCCTCCCTTAAAGAATATCAACTCTCCCTCCCCCAGAACTAATCAACTACCAATAGCTCCTTGACTGAGGTTTGGGCCTGCTATCTATTTCCCAGTTCTATGCTGGTTTAAAAAAATATATTTTTAAAGAATCCTTCCTATCTATAAAAATACTTATATTGCTCACAGTGTAACAGTTTCTACCTGCAAAATCTCTCTTTTACTGGAACTCCAAGTTAAATACACAAATCCAGGATCCATATTACAGAAGAGGTGGCAGATATGAGACTCAGAGATTTGCATAGGTTGCTGTAAAACTGTGTTCTTGAATTTCCATCTTGCCAATATATGAATGATCTTGTTTTATATGCTACTGACATATCAGAAAATGGTACAAGTGCCTCTGTGTTATGCAAGGGGCTCCTAATCCTGGGCCCAGTTTTTTCACTTTTCTATTTTACCTGAATCCAAAATGTGTATTCCTATATTTGGATTTAGTCACTTGCTCAATAGTAAGCTCAGACACTGCAAAATTATCACCTGATCTTCCCATGTTATTAGCCATATCAATCTCCTTTGCGATGAAGGTCAAGCTTGAGCACAGCCCTAGTGGCATTTACTGTGACAGGACCCTCAGAAGTGCAGCACCCATCTTCTAGGCAAGAAACAGAACTTTTTCACCCTGGAAAAGTACATCTCCAATGGCTAGCTAGCGGAGAATAGATAATACAACCAGAAGTGCAGAGTATAATATGCTATAACTCTTCACTGAGCGAATATAGAAGAGGGCATATAGAGTTCAGAATCAGCAGACAAATGTTGCCTTCTCCATCTAACAAGCTGTTTCATGGTGCAAAGTTTCTGTAGGTTTGTTCCAGCAGTGTTTTCTTGGAATTTCTGTCCAACTCAGTATGTCACCTCCTTCCTGATTTCTTTTCCCTACAAAAAATTTCTTTTTACTTCCCTGTGGCTGTCCTGGGATTGCCAGACATCATGCCTAGATTTTTAGAGAAATCAGATTGGTTCAGAAGTTTTGTTCACTGAGTAATAAATTCAAGCATATTTGAAAATAAGTAGCCAGGCAACTGTGGGGGTGCACACCTTAAACCGAAAACTCTGGAGTCAGAGGCAGGCAGATCTCTATGAGATGGAGGCCATCCTAGTCTACATAGTAAGTTCCAGGTCATCCATCTGGGGCTACATGGAGACCCTGTCTCAAAAAAAGAAAAAAAAAAAAGGAAGAAGCAAGATCAGCCTTGGACTTCCTGATTGAAATGTTTATCATTTGTTGCACATTAATCTATCTATTTTAGCATATTGATATAATTGCTTTCTTCCATCTTAATATAACGCATAGTAATGTATAGCAATGCGCTGGCTTATTTGACCTTACTTTTTCCCTGCTCTTCTTTCATCCTGTATGTGAACCCTCTCTATTCAAAGAAGTATCCACCTGCTGATTGTTTCTCTCTGCATGTGCATTGTTTTCCAGTGTCATCTTTTAGAATTAACAGTTTCATCTATGTATCTCTCTGTATAGATTGTGGCATATAGGACGGGTGCATTTACATACATTTTACACAACATTTTAAGCATCCTCCCAGTTTATCTGAAATCACACCCTCTAGAATGCTAAGCTTTTCTGACCATATTTTGCAAAGCTTCTTTTAGGCATTGGCATGTACATTGGCATGTACATCAGCTGTACATATCACACAGTGAGGTGTAGCTTTGCAGTGAACTTTCCTCCTCTTCCACACCATCACTGCCTTTAATTATTATTTCTGATAAGGATTTAGAAACAACATAAGTTACAAGCCTATAGTGATCATTAGTATTAAACAGAAATATTAACACATATGTACAGTTTCTATCTCAACTGTGTATTGAAAGTGAAGCCTGAAACATTATCTATTAGCTTGATAACTGGTCTCTATTTCAGATCAGACTTAATTGCTTGGCTTTTCTAGCCTTAGACAGCATAAGATTTTGGAATCACTTGTCTATTTTGTCATTCTTTTTTTTCACTCAATTTGAGTATCTTTACATTTGAGGTCTAAGGACTTGACCCCCCATTTCTTGAACTACCCTCCCCTTCTCTATACCACTCTTTTGCCCATAAGCTCTGCACTTTCACTTTTTACTGATTAATTACTTCTCCCATGAATGTTGGGTCATGAAAGTTAATTTTTGGAGAAGCTGAGAATTTGATTAATGACCATGAAGATCATAAAGACCTCGAATGAAAGGTGCCGTGGCACTGCATCGCATTCTAATCTAAACAAAACAGGGGCAAGAGCAAACACCAGAAAAAGTCACATTTGTACACACCACCAATTATTCTTGTATTTAACATTCATGCATCTTAAAGACTCTACATCTTCACAATTTATTAGCTTGGTATTTAACATGCTTCAAAGCCAAAATAGCAAAGAAGGTTCATTATTGCTGGTTAAATTAGCTTCGTGAAAATGCTGCCCATAAAAGGTTGCAGAAATGGAGAAGAGATGTAACCAAGCAGTGTATTAAACCATTCATCACTCTAATTCTAAAAAGGCAATCTGATTATTGAAATTAACATGGCTAAAGGCTAGAGATTTTGGATAAAATTTAATAATTAAAACCTAAATGGCAGGGTTATCTCTTCCTTTGAATAAATTGGAGACAGCCTGTATGCATACAGTATTGAAACTACCCTCTTGGGGGAAATGAATGCCAAGAAAACTGTACATGAAAATATCATTTTTTATTATTAATACTTTTAGACAATAACAGCTACATTCTATGTAACTTTAATTGTCTGAACATCTATAACTTATTTGTCTTTATATGAGATATTAGTATTTGCTTTCAAACTGTATCATTACATATTAAGGGCAATATACATATATGTCATTCAAGGATTCACTAGTTTTAAAGTTTATATACTCTAAGCATCTTGTAGTTTTTCTCTTCTTGTAAGAGTTTTAAAAATTTCAATGTGACAAGCTCAAAGACATTTCCTAAGATGGATATTGAAATGGTTTCTTATTACCTTGACAACCCCACTTAATGACTCTTTCTGTATAGATTTTAAGGCAAAGATAAACAGTTTCTGCTTTTTTGTATTCTCAACAGAAACCAGGAGCTGAAAGAACTTGGGGAACTGTCCCCACACTGGGACAACCTGAGGAAAAGTGTCCTTACTCACTGTGATCAAATGGTGACTATGTATCAAGACATTCTGACAGAACTTAGCAAAGAAACAGGTAGGAAAATAGCAGCTCACTTATTCAGGGTGGATTGCATGTAATGAATGTTATATGTAAAGAAATGTGAGTAAAAGATAAGACAATTAAGCCTCTTTGCATCTAAAACAAAGAAAATTGTGATATTGTTTCTTGGTATTACCTAAGAATAACTGAAAGATTTAAAAAAAATGAATTCTGAGTAGAAAACTCCCAAGATATTTTCTTTTTTGAAATTCTTATAGCATCTTTTTTTTTTTTCAAATGTATCTTTCTACATCATTTCTTGTCTATTCATTTTCTAATCATTTTCAATGTTTGTCCTTCTAGGGTCCTCTTTCAAATCAAGTAGTAGCAAAGGAGAGAAAACATTAGAATTTGTTCCTATTAATCTCCATTTACAGAGGATGCATGTTCATAGCCCTCAACTGAAAGGTATGTGGTCTTCTTTTACAAAAGTCAAATCACGTCAGAGTGTGTGGTTTCTTCTGTAAAGAGCTTGTCTATTGGCAGAACTCAAAATTCAAGTGAGATGGAGATGAAGAGGAAACAACAGGAGCTGATGATAGTCCTGACCAGTTGGATAAACCTACTCTGTCTGTTGTTGCATTCAGGGATAGTTTGTAAATTGGACCCTCAAGTTAGAGGTGAAAGCTCAGGGCATCAACTCCCTAATAAAGTATTCATATTAACTAAAACATGAAAATGTTGTCGTTGCTTTAATTAGGAAAAAGAGAAAACAGACTATTTTTTAATTCATAGCACAGCCTGAAACACAAGCACAGTAGCATAATGTTTCTCTGACTTGGTGAATATTAACAGAAATGCTTTCTTTCCTTCAGGAGCGTGTGAACAGGTAAGATTTAGTAAGTGGAAAGTGGTGGAAAAGTTTGGTGTATTCAGTTGGTAAAGGAGAAATGTGTAGGTTTTCACAGCATATGCAAATAAGTTATAAAGTGACTGGTAGAGTGTTTCATTTCTTATTTCTACAAAATCCCTTTCTGTTTGTATTTGTGTGTGTGTGTGTGTGTGTGTGTGTGTGTGTGTACATGTGTGCTCACATGCAAATGCCTGCACACCACAGTGCGCATATGAAGGATTATTTATAGGAGTAAGTTCTTTCCTTCCACCATATGAGTCTAGAGATTGATCTTAGGTCACCAGACTTGAAGACAATTTTTTAACCACTGTCCAAACTTGCTGGCACCTTTCCAATTTCTTGATGAAATAAAAAAAGAAAATTATTCTAGTCCAGGTGTGATGGCACACATCTTTAATTCCAGCACATGGGAGACAGAGGCCAGCAGATCTCTATGAGACCAAGGGCAGCCTGGTCTACAGTGGGGGCTCCAGGAAGACACTGTCTCAAAAAATAAAAAAGTTCTGATTCATCTTTTAAACTTTTTTTTAACTTTAAAAACAATCTTTATTGAGAATTTTATACATGCATATAAGGTGTTTTGATAAAATCCAAGCCGACTCCCTCCCCTCCAACACCTCCCATATCTTCCCATTACTTTTTTCTGACAACTTCCTGTACTCTTTCTCTCTCTCTCTCTCTCTCTCTCTCTCTCTCCCTCCCTCCCTCCCTCCCTCTCTCTCTTGTTTGATTTTTAATGGGTATGGTGGTTTGAATGAAAATGTCCCCATAGGCTCCAAGTGTTTGGACATTTTGTCCCCAGATGGTGGTGCTGTTTTGGGAGGTTTTAGAAGGTTTGGCTATCCTGGAGGAAACACGTCACTGGGGGTGGAATTACAGAGTTCTTAAGCCTTGCTGGATCTCCAGTTGCTCTCTTGCTTCCTATGCCTGTGTGATGATGTGAGAGCTTAGCTTCTGCTGCTCCTGTTCCATCCACCTCAAGCCACCATGCCTCCCTGCCATGATGGACTGTAATTCCCCTGGAACTGTAAGCTCAAATAAACTCTTCCTTCTATAAATTGCTTGGGTCAGTGTTTCTATCACAGCAACAGAAAAGTGACAAATACAATGGGGCTTTTTGCTTCTCTAACATTACTCCTCTGAAGAGGTAATCCTAAAATCTTTTAGGGAATAGATAAAAGCCCCCAAATACTTTTGCCATTTTTGGCTTTTGGAACAGAGTATGTTGCTAAGAGGCCCAAGGACTTTTTGTCTTTTAACCAAGAAACTGGCTACTTTTCTTTGGGGTCTTTTTATCCTAACTACCTAGCCAATTCCTACCTCCCTTTTCTATCACACCATCCTCTGAAGAGGTTACCCAAATTGCCAATAGGGAATCGTGGTGCAGACCACTCTGGCTTCTTCCATCCTGAACAGGGTTGCAGGGTGAGGCAATTGGGGTACCCCTTCAGTGAGTCTATCTAAAAAAAGTCTCCCAAATTGCATAACTCTTATCTCTAGGGAGAAAAAAAATCCTTGACTGGTGAACAGAGGCTGTAAGGAGAAGTAAAGGCAAGAGGAGTTAGCATTACAAATTCTAGACAGGGAACCAGAAAAAAGTCAGAAGAGAGAAAATTTCAAGTGTTCGTATCAGCGTCCATTGGGATTTCTTTATGAGAGCTTCCAAAAATATCCTTCTATTGGGTTCTTCCTTTTTCTTTTGTCTGCCAAGGTTAGACTCAAGAGTGATGGACTCAGGATTTGTTTTCAGGCAATTTGATAGCTGTTGGAATGGCTAGAATCAGTGTCAGTTCCCTCTCAAAGGCTTCTAAATAGAGGAAGACAACAAATTTAGGCATCATTTTGCAACAATAGTAGGTTGTCTCCCTTAGCTACAGGTGGGCACTGCGGTATTGAAGACCAAGATTTGAAGTCTTACATCTGAGCAGCACTTTCTGCTTAGAAACAAAATCATCAATAAGAAATAATTGTCTAAATAACATTTTATATAGACTTAAGCCTAATGTCTGGGAAGTGTAATCCCTTGAACTCTTAAAAAAATATACTGATCACTTTAATCTTTGGTTATAGTTTCCTTTTGGCTGTTTAAGACCATACAGTTGACCTAAATAAACCAATTTATTTTTACTCAATAGTCTTTATATTCCCACCCACCTGTAGACAGAGTATCATACATGACCCAGAGTATCATACATGACCTCAAACTTATTAGACAGCTGAGGTTTACTTTTAATGGATCCTCCTGCCTCCACCTCATGACTCCTGGGATTACAGGTATGGGCCACTACACTTAGTTTTATGAGGTGGTGAGGATTAAGCCCATGGTTTCTTGCGTGCTATGCAAGCATTTTACCAACTGAGGTACATTTTTAGTCCCAATTCCCATCTATTATTACATTTATATTATCAATTATATATATATTATCAATCACATATTATCAGTTACCTATTATCAATTATATATATATATATGTACATATAATTTAGAATTGAATTGGGAGTCTAAAGCAATCCTCCAATTGACTCTTAAAAATCAAGGTTAGTGTGTTTCAAGACTGAAAACTACAGAGCTAAGTGTGATTGATGACATGAAACAGAATAGGAATTTTATTTTAATTTTTTTTAATGTGTGCATGTATTGCCTCCATGTAGGTAAGTGCACCCATGTTTTGCAATGCCCGCAGAGGTCAGAAGAGGTTGTCAAATCCCTTGTGACTGGGTTACAGACAGTTGTTACCTGCCATGTGGGTGATGGGATTCGAACCCAGGTCTTCTGCAAGAAGAACCAGTGTTCTTAACCACTGAGCCATCTCTCCAGCCCCAAGTCTTCCTATTTTGAATAACAAATGCTGTAGGTATCTGTAAGTACTCATTTCCCCATGTCCCAAGTTTACTTCAGATCAGTCCAATAAGACTCAATAAGTCCAATAACACTCACACAAACATAACACATAAAGATTGTGAAAGATACATTCTGAAACTCAATTTTGTAGACATTATCAACAACATACTAGATAAAGTTTTAGCAAAGTAAAAAATGAATAATTCCTTTGTACTGCTAGTAGAAATGCAAATAGGTGTAGATATGATACATAAGTAAATTTCTTGAAAAATTATAAATGGAACCACAATATGATCTAAACCTAATTTTAGGGGTTTATATCCTGAGAACTGAGATGAGAAAGGATCTTTGAGATGGCTTCATTCCTATGTTCACTGTAGCCTTAAGGCTCAGTTGTTGAGCTATGATGGTTACCTAAATGTCCATTGATGAACAGACAAATTCTGAAATTATGCAATGTAAAGCAATCATATATCATTCAGCCTTTAAAAGAAAGAAAACCAGCCATCTGTGACCAGTTGGATGAATCTGGAGACAACATGCAAGGGACCTAAAGATAAATGCCACCTACTTAAGGAGTCTAAAGTAATCAAACTGATAGAATTGAAGAGTAAAATGGTAGATAACAGGGGGTTTGGGGAGAAAATAACAGATAAATGCAGAGCTTCAGATGCAGGAAGTCCTACAGACCTACTAAAGGACCTGTGTTTACTATGGTTACCAATACTGTATTGCTTACTTAAAATTTTTCTAGTAAGACAAGTTCCATGAACAAAAACATCTCTCAGTAAGCAGCATAGAAGAGCCATTTGAGAGATGAAGGATAGGTGTATACTACATGTAGTAATGGTTTCAAAGGTGTGTACTTGTCTCAAAACTCATCAAGTATATATTAAGTATCTGTAGGTTTGGTGTGTCAAGAATACTGTAGTAAAATGGTTTAGAGGGGAAAGTAAATTAAATCCCTTCTATTTTAGAATAATCTGAGGTCATATTAAAAAAAATCAAGTGTTTAGTATTTGCTAATTTGTACAATCAAGTATGTCTTGACTAGCTAATGTGAAAGCATAAGTGTGGTTCTAGATATGCTGATAATTCCATTTTCATCAGCAACCAGGAGGTTAAATTTTGTTTCCTTTTAGCCACATGTCAAAATAAATAAATAAATTATGATGGAAAGGGCAATGCTTATAAGAATTTTTTTCTTGATTCATACCTGTAAATTGTTTAAAACTTAACAATATAGAATGGTTTTAAATGTCACCAAAGCCCACACTGTAAGAATATAAGAATAAAGCTATTACATTTAAGAATTATCAATGGACGTATTGTTCCTAATTACCAATATAAAAATACATTCATTGTACAGTAAATATCTATGTCTTGGAACACAAAAATTTTGAGTTCAAATTGGAGCTTTACCAATTTTCATATATTCCCCGAGTCTACCATTTAATCCTTTTAAACATTATTGTGATTAATATTGTTTATGATTAAGTGAGACAGAGTACCTAAAACATCTTGAGTAACACAGTAATAGCAATTTATTGTAGCCCTAGCATCTGAGATCACTAGAGTAAAATGTATGCACCTATTTTATCAAAACTGTTAAAATTGGAGAAATGGAAGATCCTATTCAAAGACTATGAAGTCTTACAGCAGAAAACAGCAAGGATTTGGAAAAGGTGGTTTGAGATGTTATTTCATGCAAGT